TCGGGATCCAGGATCCAAGTTTTCCTGTCGCTGTTCCCGCGCGGCCCCGGCGCGCAGCGCGGCTGCCCCCTAGCGGCGCAGCCGGGGCGCTGCTCCCCGCGCGGCCCGGCCTGGTCCCGGTCCCGGCCCCGGTCCCGGCCCGGCCGGCGTCGCGGGGCGGCGCCGGGGCTCAAAAGCCGCGGGTTCGGGGCCGGGCCGCTCCTAGGAGCGGTGTGTTCGGTAGCTGGTGCGTGGCTGCCCCTGCGGTGGGGAAGGGCCTGCAAAGTGCAGAACAGAGTTCACGTGCGTCGTTGGGTTCGCTCGGGATCTGCTCAAAATGTGAGTCTGGCTCTTGCTGGGAATGACCGACACGGCACCCACTGCGCGTCTTGGTTTTTGCTGCAGTGGATGCATGTTTTGGAAGGGAGCTAAGTTGTGGTTCAGGTGTGGCCAGGAAGCCGGGTTTGGTGGTAGCCGGCTGTGTTTGCACGTTCTCCGGCTCTCACATCGCAGTGCTGGGCRTTTGGGGTCTGTGCGAGGGGTGAAGTGCAGCATAACTTCAGCGTCTCCATATGGGCTTGGGAGGTTATATAGGTGAGTATTGCTTGGGTTAAATCGTGCTAGTAAGAGGATTGCTGAAAGATGGCGAGTCAGGCCCCTTGTGATCCTGGGGTATTGGGGAGGGCGGCTGTGTAGAGCAGCTGATGGGATTTGCTAGAGGAATGAGCAATTCCAGGCAGGTTTCTCTGCTTGACTATTTCTGCTTTATGATATGTCCCTTATAAGCTGCGTGAACACATTCTCTGCCTCCCAAAAATCAAATAAATGAAGGTCATTCTCAGGGAACACACTTAATATTTTCGTGTATAGTCTTATTTGCATTAAATCAAATAGACAAACAGAACTGTGAGCATAACCTCATTCTTTTTTTTCCCTTATTTTTGCTGTGGAGTGGGTGGTAAGGAAGGGTGGAAGGAAGAAATAGGGAAGCATTTTTTAAAAAATATTTTGGTTAATATTGATTTTTCTAATATTTATAATAGTAATTTTCTCATATGAGCTATAGAAAGCCTTTTATAGTGCTATATCTAGGTCAATCATACGTATCTAGTCTATATATGACCTTACTGTGGAGTTTCACTCTTAGTCATTGGCTTTTAGTGGATCAAGGTCCACTGACATCATTTTTATATTGGCAGTGTGTAGATGAACATAACTGAGGTAAAAGTATGTGTGTGTCAAGTAAGGAAGAGCTCAAAAAAGGGTGGAGATTGTGGTGGTTTAACACTTTAAATTAATTTGCTGGTGAGCTCCAGAGAGAGGCTATGCAGCTGGGAGAGGTGCTGCTGCAAAGAGTTAAGCAACAGCCCCGTCAGTATATTACTGATATAAGGGAAAGTGATTTTTCCTATTGTGGCTTTGGACCTGGCTGTGCAGGAGCTGATTAGCATTTCAAGATCTATCTTTGTGCATCAAGTCCTTGATGCAGAAGGAAGCAAGATAATCTCAATCACTTCTCTTCTGTAAGGTCTTTTTATTGCAGTCTGCAAATTTCAAAAAAAAAAAAAAAAAAAAAAAGGTGATGAAAAGCAAAAACTGCCTGGGAAGCTTATTGCTGGGTGAGGAGGTATGATGGGGACAGAGCTGAGTCGAAAGCAAAAAAAAAAAATATTACAAAGAATGAAAGTATAAAGTTGCTTCAGGAATAGACTGGGGGCAGAATGTGTTCTGCTGTAATGTGTGTAATGGATCCCATCAAGAATAGTGGGATAATTCAGGTCGAAAGGGATCACAAGGTGCCTCTAGTTTGAGCTCTTACTCAGGCAGGATCAGATATAAGATCAGGCCTTGTTGCTCATGGTCTTGAAAACCGTCGAGAATAGAGACTGGACAATCTCCTGCACAACCTGTGCCAATGCTTGAGTGAAGGGTTTTTTTTTTTTTTTTTTTTTTTCCTTATATCAATTCAGAGCCTCTTTTGTTTCTATTTATGCCTATTATCTTGTCCTCCCACCATACACTGCTGTGAAGAGCCCGGCTTTGTCGTCTTGATGACCTAGAACTCTGTCCCCCAGTGTGGCATTTCCTCTAGGGGAAATATCTGGATTTGRATGTTTTGGCTATTCTGCAACAAATGCCATTTTTCAGGGGAGTGCTTGATATAAGTTTCTGYTGGCTTCCTGAAGAAGTCACTGGATGTACTAATCAATGTTTTTGATTACAGATGAGGTTCTTGGCACCTCAGGTCCTTTTTGTCTCCCTGGCCCCATATCTTTCATGATCCCTATAATTCTTGAGCCTTAGTATGCTGAGGGGTTTCTCTGGAAGATACAAATAGTTGTCCCCCTGCTGCTTACCACATCTGTTTATGAGAAGAAAAACGGAGTTTTCTGCATGTTCCATAAACAATGTCAGATAGTTATTGCAGAATGGCTGCAAATTCTAAGACTGAACTTGCACCGTCTCACACCCCAAATGCATCAATTACAGCAGTCTGGGGAGAGCTTCAGCTTGGGGTGGCTGTTAGCCTGATTGAGAGGCACTATTTTATACTAATGTCTTGTTTTTAARAGTGCTTCCTATCTATCATTGGGCAGCAGTGATGTAAATTAGGGCCTTTTACTATTCTAGAACTTTTGGAAATGTTAGAGCTGAATTATATCTGAAGGGAGGGGGAGAGGGAGAGAGAGGAGGTCTTTATTCCCTCTACAAAATTCCTGCACTTGGACATCATAGTGGGTGTTTATTTTCCAGTTTCTCTAATGTTGTATTTTTACAAACATGTTTCAGAATTCCAAAATATCATTAAAGAGGAGTGATAATCAGGGATCTCCTCTTGTATCTGTGACTGCCAGTTGCTGCTTGTGACTCTCCAGACTGCAGCAGAATTATTTGTTGATTCAGGCTGAAGAAAATACAAACAGGAGTGGGTTCATGGGAAAGGGTAAACACCCATGTTTAATTAGTCTGCTGTAGCCTTTATGCTTTTCTGTTACCAGATTAGAGCCAAGTATAAATCTTCTGCCTGAACTGCACACTGCCTGAAGTAAATTTAATGGGAAGGTGAAATCAAGAAGGCAGCAGACGCTTTGTTATGAACAGGCAACAATGATGATCTTGAAAGGTTTCTTCCTAACACTTATTTTCCAGCTGTTTATATTTCACCGCTTCACTCTCTTGAAACCACAATAACTGTAATATTTCTAATCCAAGTCTTACTTTTTAAAAATCAGATTTATTCAAGCAAAATTCTCACTTCTGTTATGAATACAGATCAAGTTTGGCCTGAGCTGTCTACAAATACTTCTGCTTTCAAGTTGTACATTCACAGAGTTTTAAATTCCAGAAAAATTAGGCCTTGCCAAGCCTATTAGGCGGTCTGGAAAAATTTAGGTAAGTGAATGTTGCATGCCGAATATGCTGCGTTCTGAATATATAAAATGTGTTATTGGCATTGAGATTCAAGAGAACCCAAGTGAAGCCAAATTAAAAATCCCAGACAAAGCCAATGTTATGAAAACAATCACTGCTCCTATACACAGATAGCTGGGGCCTGGCTGGGAGTGGGGTTGCTGATCTAAGAAGTGAATATGATTTCAAGAGGGAAAAGCAAATCTCTGCTTTCCCTGCCACTCAGTTCCCCATATGTTGTTTCTGCCTTAGGATATTTCTCTTAGGACTTGCTGTTTCTTCTCTTCATTAAAGTTTTTATATTATCTTCCTTTATTCTTCATGTACATGTTTCATTCTTGTCCTGATGTGTGCATTATGCAAAAAGACTCCATATTCAAGAGGTTTGATATTATATTTATATATTTATATATTTATATATTTATATATTTATATATTTATATAGCCCTGATGCCAAGGGCAATATCTCATGTGAGAGCTCAGAGAGTGAATCACCTATGTGTACAGGCATTACTGGGCTGGGGAGTCCTGCTGCTCTTCTGCAGTCTCACAGAGCTCTTGACAGTTCTTCTAGAGGAGAGAAATGTCCAGTGGTTGGGGTAAATGAGACGAAGCACAGGAATAGTCCTAACGAGATCCAGAACCAGCCTTATCACAAGAGATAAGTCAGCATTTAACTCAGAGTATGATCAGGATGCAGAATTGTACTGAATTTATTATTCTGACCTTAGTGGATCTCTGTGGATGTGAGCAGAAGCAACTCCAGGGGCTGGGGTCCTACTGAGATGGATGTTGCTGCARCCACTGATGGGAAGAAGCGTGAGCTGTGTGGCCATCCAAGCTGCGATGCTCACGGACCCCCCGTGGAGCATCCGTGTCGGGATCATCCAGCTCGTGACCGCGCAGCCCGGCTGCTGCTTCTCTTTTGCCCAGGTAAGTGTGTCCCTGAGCTCGGCCACAAGCCATGCAGCCTCACAGAGAAATACACAGGGGCACACGGAGGTAGACCAGACGGTTATTGGATGTGTTGTGGAATACTGTGTATTCCAGGCTTTTATAACTGTGGTTATAAAAAACGTAGTAGCAGTGACCCACAATAAATTCGCAAGGAGTTTCGAATTGAGCCRCTTAGCAAGAACTTCAACTAAAAGATTCCCCTTGGCCCTTACTAATGACTTTGCTCTTTTGCACATATGCCACTAGGTATCAGTGTTCCCTCCTTTATGCCCTGTGAGATTTWAAATTCTTCCTGTCTTGTTAGAAAGCTCCTTTCCTGCAGAAGTTCTTTTTTTTTAAAGCATAATTTCAAGCAAGAAAATGGTTCCCTTTCTTGAAACAGATCGTTCATGCTACAGAATAGTAGAAAGTTGTTCATATTCGTCACAAACTAGAAATGAAGGATGGAATTTATTGAGTGTCTTAGAGCTTACTCTTTAAGAGTATTGGCTTTTCCATTGCTGCATCCCCTGATAAGGAATTATGTTATCTGCCTGACACATTGTGAGGGATATTGACTATGCAGTGTCAGCGTTTTTTCTGTGCTTGTAACTGGGAAAAATACAGAGCAGTGATACCGACTTCAATAATAACAGCAGAAGGTGTTCACTTACCCTATGACAATGCAGGAGATGGCAGTTCCCAAAAAGGCATAGGTTAAAATTGATCCTAAGTTACGAAAAAAATGTCTCTGGAGAGGAAAGTTTGACAAAAAGCCTTTTGTTAATAGAGCAGTAAAGCCAAACATCGCATATGCAAGTGGGATTCCATCTATTCCTGTGCCTGTTAGAGCCAATAGTTTGCATGTCCAATAAAACAACGTAGGCTACAGAGGATGCTTTTGAAAATACAATTCATGTTTTCTGCCTGGAATGTATTGAGTTTCCTCTTTTATGTATGGCCAAATGCTGCACAATGAACAGAAGTTCACCTTGAAGGTAGCTGATGCAAACATTGCCATACTCAAATCCCTTGCCCAGAGGAAGTCCATGATCATATAAAAGTCTCATGAGCTACTGCCTGCCTGCAGTGTCGACAAAGTGGCCTTTTCTCACCACTGTAACATGCCCAAACTGCACAATCAAAGCAAAAGGGAGCAGAATTAAGTCTACTTATTTTCCATATTCCTCCATTCTTTTCCAGGTTACTGCTATGCAACACAATTAACTGACTCTTTCTCTGTTACTAGCCTGTYGGATGTACAAAAGTAGCAATCACATTCATCTACTTTCGTAAGATAAGAAAGAAGCACATACCTTTTTTAAACTATATCCAGCATGAAATATAATGGGTGGCAACAGAATGTTGAAGAAGATGGAAGGATCAAATGTCATCTGTCAGAAAGAAGAAAGGAAATTGTAAGGAAAAAGAAAGCAGCATTGCATTTAATGTACTAGGTTTTTATTCTACCTTTTTAGTAGCATTTTTCTCAGTGTTGGCTTTAATGAGTCACATATGAATGTCTGGAGGTCAGAATGTTATATGGAGTTATTTTCATGTAATAGTATGACTGTGTTCCTAAGGCACATATATATATATGTAAAAATACTACTTGAATATATATATATATATGAAATACTACTTGAATGTTTAAAATATGAACTAGAAGGAAATGAGCCATGCAGTGGTGTACCTGGAACACCTGCAGGTGATGTTACCGCTGGCAGTAATACCTGCRCTTCAGACCATGCAGCCTGGGAGCTGTGCTTCAGGCACAGGCTCCCTCTTCAGTCTCAAGAAAGGTGCAACCTTGTGCCTCAGATTCCTGCACACAGAATGTCAATAACAGAAAATACCGGCACTACCAAAAATCCAAACTAATGTTTCTCTCAAACCGTATCTATTATGTTCAGGTAGAGCTTACTAATATTGCTTAATGAAGGTCATCAGCTGAGAGGATATGGTTTCTTGCACTACTGCATATGAAGTGTGCACACCTAGACCCTCTTCATTCCTTTTTGACAAGTTAGCCTAAGAGTGGTACATTTCACCTCACATTTTTTAACAGGCAAGGAGAATGCCTGTGGTTAGGTAACACAAAAAGATGTGATGTGACTCATTACGCTGTGATGTTATCATCAGCTCTGCACAGCTGCCAGCTCAGTTGTCACCAAGTTTCTTACTSAATCCAATAACTGCTTCTGTAGCTTCTTTTCCCTCGCAACATATCTAGTAAAATGTAATCTGTCCAGTCCATCAGTTTGGGCTGGCTGCAGCAAAGCAAATTTTAGGCTTTCCACAGCAGCCRGGTGTTTCTCCTGGCTAAGGAAATGTGAGTTTGGCAAGGCACAATCGGTCCTTTCCTGCAAAAGCACCGTCTGATGAAACTGGAAGCTCACAAATGGCATGAAGCCTTTTCTTCCGGATTTAATGGCTTTGACACTTCTGTTAGAATCGATTATTCAATTTAAGGGTTTTAAGGTGTACCTAATTATTAGCAACTCAGCTGATTTAACAATATCATCCTTATATTTTGTTTTTTCTGTGCGCTGACATTGCAAGTTGTACTGTCATAGCAATGAAACTGAAACATCTTTGTGGTGACAGCCATGWAGACCTAGAGAGCAGCTTCTTGACTTTCTGTGTTAGCAAAAACACAAAATATCTCTGAGCCTGGAAATCTGAAAGGAACTAACCAGGACTGTTCTTCTGCAAGAAAATGATAGGTAAAAACTTAGCTCCATGGTCAGAGAGCAATTGACTCTCCTTTCCTGCATGTTCCAGCGTGTTGCTAGCATAAAGGGGGATGAATGGTTGGGATAAAAGCTGGATAAACCAACTTTACACTAGCAGAACATTCCCTTAAATTGATTTAAAGATGTTAGAAAAAGACCAAAATGCAACAGAATATGTTAACCATCTCAGTCCCTGTATGTCATTCTGCTYTCTGGATGCCATTGCAGGAGACTGTGGAGGAACTGGTTATGCACCTGGAGTTCAAATAAAGTACATTCTTCAGCTAACCCTGTATTTCACATACTTCACGCAGATGCATTTCTATCAAATCTGCTAAATAATGCTAGATGCACGTGGCATTGGGCAGGGGAAAAGCCATTTCTCCCGCTCCCCRCGGCCGCCAGCTCGAGGCGCAGGGAGCAGCGGCGACGTTCGGCCCCAGGGCTTCGTTTCACGTAACTCAGTAAAACAGAATCCTGTTGAAAACCACAGCGTTGCTGGGGAAAAACATTATTTTAATGAGCCTGTGTAATTTGCTGTTTTGACACTGGGATATGTTATATCAATATCTTTAAAAGCAACACAGTATAATTAGCGCAATGGCTGGCAGCTCCTCTGTTTGGATAAAGTGACATTCTAAGGCTAGAGTATACTGGGTGAATTATTTAGCTTCAAAAGAATAAGATCTACAAAACTACTGCTGTCTTCTTGCTAATGTATAGCTCGGTTTGATAAACAGGAAGTGAGGGCTCAGCCTTTTTTTTCATTCTGCTTACTTTGAATTATTAAGTTGATAAGAACTAGCTGGCAAATGTGTTAGCAACTTTAGCTATGCTGACAAAATTATGGAAAATAAGAGAGAAAATAAATTCTTGTTTCACTTAGAAACTAACAGTCTCAAATGCTAATTTTGAAATCAATTCAGCAAGCAAGATAGCTTTATTTTTTTCCATCGGCATCAGAAGCCCTGCCTGCATGTCCTTTTATTATGAAGTATCCTGTAAAGGATGCACATTTGTAAGTCACGGCACAGATTATTCTTTCTGATAAATGCACATAGAAAACTTTTACGCTGAGGTCAGGAGGGAATTGCAGTTGTACAAACAACCAGCGCACGGTGCAATCCCGTTCCCTGCTTTCTGTGTCAGTGCTTTGCCAGGCAGAGTTTTTGTCCCTTCAATGCTGGTGAGTTCTTCCCTCTCTTCTCCTCCCTTCCTGCTCCCCTTTTCTCCAACAGGGCATTTCCCAGAGCATTTTAAGGGGAAAAGGTGTGAAAATTATTGTAGGCTGAGCCTTCTGTCTTAATCTGGAGAGATTCACATTACTAACTGCACGATGGAGGCTTTTAACGACCTTGCAGCAAAGTAAGGCTGTGAAGAGACAAGCAATGCCCTCTAAGGGCAACAGGAATTTCTGTGCTCCTACTTTCTTATGGTACAAGCCAGCTTTGGTAGACCTGGTTTGGCAGAGATGTTCAAATGCAGTGTGTTAGCACGTCTAGTTTGGAAGCGCAACACGTGCTTTGACTGAGACAAATCTCTCGCAGCCAACGTGCAGGAAGAAGGATGAGGACTCAGCACGTCTGAGCAGGGCGCCCCAGCGCTTCCTGCCTCCACGCGCTGAGRAGCAACGCGGCAGCCCCAGGCAATGGGACCCGCTGCTGAAGTGCTGCTGCTGCTGCCGGCCTCGAGGTACTGGAGCTCCCCAGTGCGCTTTATAAGCCAGGCTTAATGTTCTTTAATGGTTTTTAATGATAACCAGTATAATACTATGCTAGATATGCATTAAGAATACTTGGGGGAAAGCAAAGCAATATATTTCAATATTGTAAAAGAAAAAAGTTAATTTGAGGAGTTTAGAATCTTCACGTGAATATTTGATGCCTTTGAGCATAAAATCTGTTTTTAAAAAGTCCCTCTGCTCTCATGAGTTTTTTAAGTTGCTTTTTTTTTTTTTTAGGAAGTTCACATTACAGGAAGCAGAGGTTGCGTAGGTGTGTGAAYGTAACGATTTCTCCTGGTAATGTAACGATACATCTATTCAAGTCGAACTGTTTAACACTGACAAGAATTTTCTCAAGGCATTTTCCGTGATTGATGAGGGAAACGCGTGGAGCCTGGGTGGGATTTGCTGATTTGCCCGCGCTGCCTCCAGAGCAGCAGCAGCAGCTCCAGCCTCTTCAGCTGGTCGGGATCTTGGCAGGAGCTTTGGTGGCAGCTGGTGGGGTGGGAGAGGCACATATATGTGTTCATGCACACATCTAGCACGCTTTGGGAGAGGAGTATCACGCAAAACACGAGCAGTGTACGTTATTAAGGTAATACTAGCAAGCTAAATATTTAATTGTTGCACACTAGAAAACAGAATAAAGGCCATGACCTTGTAAAGGACTCTCAGCTTCCTCTCCCACTTCCTTTTTTGTGCCCTGCCAGAATTGCCAGATGACTGTCTGCAGATCTCCAGGGAAATGCCCGCTACTGCAGGGATGCACGGGATCCCTGTAGAAGTTTAACTTGTTTGCAAGCTCATACAATGTAGAATGTCTCTCTGGGGTCTGCAGTTACCTGCTGTGCACAGGGGGTAACTTCCCCTTCTCCATGCTGCTGAAACCAGTCGTGTTTTGGGCAGAGGACAAGGAGAGGTTCCCGTGAGGATTACGGAGTGCTGGTGGGGTGGGCACAAGGATGAAACCCGTGTTTTCAGGGAGTGGAGCTGTCATGCAARGGAGCTGAGGCATTTAGGCTTCTAGCATATGGCTGGCTGAATTCAGAGCTCAAAACCAAGTGATGATCGGGTTTCTACTGCGTCTTACTTCCTTTTCCTGTTCTCTCTCCTTTCTTACCTTTCTCACCCTAAGTTCAGAACAGCTTCTCACTCTCTGCATCACATTTTAACTTAACTTCCTTTTCTCTCTCAAGTGTAGAAATGAAAGAAACATCTTATACAGTTTAGAATGAAAAGAAGATAGTTTCTACCTTTTGAAGAATTGCATTTCCTTGGTGACTGTTGACATTGTGACGACTGATCTCCCTTTTGTACTGATATTCATAGACTTGGTTAGTTATATTAATGAGCAGCGTGGATGGCCCAGATTTCAGCTTTTCACATTCATAAACAGTTCCACTTTCAACATCTGATGGTTTTGTTGCATATCGTATAATTAATCCCATTACAAGCCCTGGAGAGTGAAACACACACAAAAAAAACCAAAGAAATTCAGAGATGCTTTACCCTTTACTGACCTGGACAAAATTTTTCCTCTTCTGCTGTACTTGTAGCCACAAGTTCAGTAGATACTTAGAGAGGAGGATGAGTGCATAACTGAGCACTATCCCAAGCACACATAAGTCAACCAAGCTCTATTCATGGAGGCAAAATTCTGCCACATTACCCAGAGTTAATATCTTAGTTCAAGTAACATTWATGGAATGCAGTTTCTCCTATAATCTTTTTTTTTTTCCCCCAATATTGTTCAGGACCACAGATCATATTCGGACAGAGATAATTTTTAACTAGGTCTATCTATAATATACTTTTTGTCCTACTGCTTCACCTTCCCAAGTGAAGCACGTATTTTGCAAATCATTCTTTGTAGTTCATTTAAAAAGAAGGTTCAGGAAAAATCATAGTCATTTTGAATGGCGCTAAAAAGCAAAAGATTAAGAATGTTTAGTTCCCTTGCAGTCCATTTTTCCATGGTAGATTATTTAACCATGAATTTTTTTCCCAGAATTTATATGGACTTAATATGTAAAAATACAACATTTGTACACCTCATTTTCTAAAGATCGGTTAGGAATGATACTGCATGAGCAGTATCAGTCAAACTGCATCAGTTTGACATGGAAAGTAGGGAGCTGTTGGTAAAAAGAAACAAGTTTCAGCAAGTGTCACATCAGTTAAGGTGACGGGTAACTGAATGCAGAGGCTTATTGAGGGTGACCGAGAGCACGCAGGGTAGAGCGCACGTCTTGTGCTCTAGGAGCCCAAGTCCAAGACAGGTTTTCATTCCTTGTTTTTAATATATTTTTCCTTTAAATGTATTACCAGGTGTTGACTGAATTCATTTTTAAAGCACATTTATTTACAAGCTGTATTGAAACAGGAAAAAGTGTCATTATAACCACTTTTTTCTTTCTGTCCTTTGCAGTGAACTCTCCCTGCAACAAAATCCCCTGCCAAACTCCTGAACCAAACAGGACTGAGTTTTTTTCTAGGGTGCTGTTAAATGCCTTGCTTAAGTATAGACACTCAGGGATGCAGTTTTGTGCATTACATGATTTTCCCAACTATTTTAGAATTTCTTAAAAAGTTCTTCATTGGCTTAAGAATGACATCCCTTCCTTCATCTATGCACTATGAAATGCTGATTTCTAATATAAGCCAAACGTGTCCTTCATCCTTTTTGGGTTTCCCTTCCTATCTGATGTACTGCTCCCTGGAAGCCCCACTTCAAAGGCAGGTGTGTCTTTGTCCACCTGGATCTATTGATCACAGTGAAATCTATTCAAGCTGAGGATCTAATGAGCAATCAGAGTTGCTAATTAATCTAGCAGATAAAAGAGCACAGATTTTTTTTTTTTTTTTTTTTTTTTTTTTTT